GAGCTCAAGGCCAGCTGCCCGTTCTCCTGCAGGTCGGACGGAGACGGGCAATGGGCAAGGGCTCCTCCAGCGGTGACCCCGAGACAGCCACCCTCTGGCCGCAGGGTCCGCCCAGCCTACCTTCCCTCCTGCCAGGACGGCCCCAAAGAGGTGGATGAGCCGCAGCAGCAGCGTGGGGGGCAAGCGCTCTGCCTCCTGCAGGCTCTCTGGAGGGGGGGCGAGGTGGGGGGAGCAGGACAAGGTCACCGAGCTGGCAGGGCTGGGCATCTTCGGGGTCTACAAACAGGTGGGAGCCCGGGGGTGGGGGTGGGGGCTGAGGGAGGACACCTGGTTCTGAGCTGAGGGGTCTTAAAAGCCATGGTTCTCCACCAAGGGGCCTGAGGGGGACACAGCCCTTTTTGGGGAGCTCGAAAAGGAACAGGACCCTGAGAGCGGAGCCAGCCCCCTAGACCCTAAGCCCCGGTGTGAGCACCCGCTCCCGCTTCCCCATGGAAACCCAGGTTTTAGTCCCTCAGATGCAAATCTCCTGGTCCCTCTGCCCTGACAGTTGGTGCTTCCCCCAGTGACCTGCTGGGGGAGGGGGGCTGCCTGTGTCTAGCGTCTCGATGCCCTCACTCCACCCCCACCCCCGCCCCAGCCCTGCCTCTGCTGGGACTTCTAGGGGCTTTCACAGCGTTGGATGGACAGGATGCCAGGCCACAGACTGAAACCCAGAGAGCAGAGAGGCCCGGCCTGGGTCACAGGGTGGCGTGGGGGGTGGAGGAGCAAGAGCAGGGCGGGCCTGATTCAGGCGGGATGGGGTGGGAGGCCGAGCGGGGGACAGGGCTTTAGAGGTGAGGCCTGGAGCGCAGCTGGCCTTGCGGGAGAGGAAACTGGCCCAAGACCTGCAGGTGGCTGCCTGGTGGCCTCTAGGAACGAGAGGACGGGACCTGTCTGGGGGGCAGGGAGCAGTGGGGCTGGGGAGGACGGCCGGGGGGAGCAGGGCTTGGTCCTGAGGGTGTCAGGCCACGTCTGGGGCGTTTACAGCGGCAGGGACTTGGTTCTGTTCTGAGGAGAGAACTCGGGCAGGGAGGGAGGCAGGGAGCTCCCGGGTGCCTTCCCTCCTGGAGCTGCGTCCCTGCCCCGGGCCCAGGCCTGCAGCTCCAGGGACATCGGAGACAAGGACATGCCTTCTTCTCTTTCAGTCCTCACGCGGGGACATTTTCCCATTGATTTTAGAGAGAGTGGGAGAGAGAGGGAAAGACAGAGAGAAACATCGACGTGAGAGAGACACATCGATGGGTCGCCTCCTGCACAAGCCACGACCAGGGCCCAGGCTGGGGAGGAGCCTGCAACCGAGGTCCGTGCCCTTGACCGGAATCGAACCCGGGACCCTCGGTCCGCAGGCCGGGGCTCTATCCACTGAGCCACACTGGCTAGGGCAAGGACATACTTTCTATCCCAACAGAAAACACCCTCCCACGCTCACTGCCCCACCCACAGCACCCTGCCCGGGCCCACCTACCGCACTGGCCAGTCTCTCTCTGATGACAGAAGAGGGGACCCAGGAGAAGGGGGTCCCCAGGGAGAACAGGTGGCCATTCTGGGGGTCAGCTCCTCCAGGAGGGAGGGAGGAGGGAGTGGAGGTAACAGCTAGTGTAGACGTTGTGCTGAGGAGGGTGCCCACCAGGTGGAGGCTCCAGGGACAAAGGGACTGGACTGGGATGGTTTTACGGTGGTCCAGGCCAGAGTGGGGTACAGGCGGTTGTGGGGAGCCAGGGGATGGGAGGGAAGGGGGAAGGGAAATCAGCGCCCCCGCCTGATGCCAGGCCTTCTCTGCAGCCCAGAAATTACTCATCTTTCCCAGGCCTGCCCTTTCTCTCCTCTCTGCCCCGAAGCCCTCAAACGGGCAGGGCTCTCCCTCCCCACTGCAGCCAAGGCCAAGCTGGTCCTGTCCAGCCTCCACGTTCCCCAGGAGGACAGGCTTGGGGGCGGGGCCAAGCAGGGCAGGGGCGGGGCCTGACCTGCGAAGAAGGCTCCAAATTCAGCAGGCAAAGCAGCAGGAGGGAACTTGTACTTGCTCTTCTCCTTGGCACTGATGACTTCCCTGGGGTGGCGATGGGGGGCAGGGGGCCGGTGAGGCTGGGCACTTCACCCCTCCTGGGTCATGCCCCCCCTCCCCTGCCCACCCCCCGCG